AGAAGTATGTGCGTGAGGGGGGAATGTTTAACTTATTTCTAAAAGATATTTCTTCAAATTATAACCAGTACATTGTGTGCCTATGATCTACTACTTCTCATATGCTGGTTAAATTGTTTAAGGTATTCATGCTTATGTCATGCACAAAGTTTCTCATAGCCAACATGTGTGTAAATATGTTATTTTTGCCTGCTGATGTGTTCACAACTGTGTCTTCTCACAAGCCAATAGTCTACCAGTGTTTAATTTTGTAACATGGGAGACAAAGCTATTGTCAGTGGGAGACAATGTTTCTCATAGCATTTTAGTCAATAAATTCTCACATTTAGATACTTGATGTTCCCAAAATTGATGAAACTATTTTTAACAACGGTTAAATATTTCAAGTAAAATTGATAATTTTATTAACCACTAATCCGTTGATCTATATTTATAATATCACTGCCTGGACATGGAGATGAATTAGGCGGCAATGCATTCCTGAAGGTTAATTGACCTTTCTATAGAAAATTTTCACTGTCATTAATACGTTTGAATAATATTTCTCAAGCCGTTCAAAAATATAGACCCCCCCTGAAACAATTTAGCCAACTCTTCTTAGTTTTTTATTTTGCAACCTGAAAAAATGCAAAATAAAATAACTAGATATACCGACATGTTTACCCTCAAACTCGCAAAATCGTACAATATCATCACAAAATCGTTCAACACATTATCTTAATAGTAAAAAAGAAACATACAGTATATATAATGTATAATCGTAAAAGTAAACAGGTCTGGATATAGTGTGAGGACCTCCTTTATAGATATGGTGTTGACCTCCTTTATAGCTATGGTTCAGTGTTCAGTGAACCCCAGTTCGGAAGACAAGTAGAGAAACTTAAGGAGACTGAAGAAATAATATGAAGAGTTCTGTTTATATCTTAAAGTGTAATTCATTATTTTTGTGAGATCACATTCTTCCATTATAGCACATGGTGTATAAGCCTCCACACTTGACGATCTGGTTGCTTGTAAGTGTTTAAACTGTGTGACTTAAATATCTAGATGTACGTGTCTTGAAGTAGTGTACATGTAAAAGGGATGGTTTAAAAAGTGTGTGGACATTGTCCTGACTCTCATTTTTTAGGCTTGGGACTTGACAAAGGTCTGGATTTGACATTGATGAAATATCCAGTAAAGACTTTGTAACATCACCGGACATCAAAAGCATAAAACTGTCCCTACTTCTTGGCTCTCCTAAGATCAATGCTGATTATGATAGCTTTACGTGAATGTGGTGCTTATTATGATAGGTTTGTGTGAATGTGATATTGTCTAATATAGCTTTGGTGTGAATGTGACGCTAACTACGATAGCTTTGTGTGAATTTGATGTTAACTATGATAGTTTAACGTGAATGTAATGCTAACTATGATAGGTTTGTGTGAATGTGATATTTAGTATGACACTTTTATGATAGTTGTACATGAGCATAATGCTAACTATGATAGTTTTACATGAATGTGATGCTAAGTATGATAGGTTTGAGTGAATTACTGATGTGTGAATACACTGAATGCTGGTTTCATGTTAATGGGCTCTGCTGTATTTGTTACTGTCACTGCTGCATTCATTAGACTATGTATGATTGTAACATGATTTTTTTATGATTTCAAATTAAACTTTTACTTTGATTTGTATTCAAATATAAATAAATAAAGAGGCGAAGCTAAAGTGGGGTTTGAAGTCACGTGTATTGATGCCAACCAGGAGAGTTGGTGAGGCCAACCAGGAGAGTTGGTGAGGCCAACCAGGAGACTTGGTAGATTTTTTATGGGATTAGTAATTTAAATAGCAGTTACAATTTTGTTATTCTTAAAACTTTATTTATTATATTGAACAATTAATATTTTTGTACTTGGTCAATGTAATTTTTACATGATTTAGTTAGTGGTCAACTTATTTAATAAGTAATTATATAGCAGTTTTTCAGGCCTTCATTTTGTGAGAATTGCATTTATGACATTATTTTACCTTTTTTAAATTATCAAATTAAAAAATATATTGTATGTACTTATGTAGATACTTTGGTCAAGGAAGGGTTTTAAACTTAATGCTTAATTTTGTGTTCAAACTTGTATTTTTCTGATTTTTAGTTGTTTTTTTTCCATTTATTTACAGTGACAAGGATTGGCTGAAAGGGAGGTTAGTTAGGGGAGAGCACTGTTTCAATTAATAAGAAATACAACAAATAACTGATCACAGTGCACGTTTAAAGAAATGGGAAACCCAATGTTCATCATAGACACCTTGAGACTCATTATTCCATCAAAATGTTTCTATATTTACATTGTGTTGTGGATGGGCCATTTTTTTAGTGGTGGTATGTATATACAACAGACCTGTTTACCTTCCAACTCTTAAAATCGTACACTAACCTCACAAAATCGTTCAATACATTATCTGAATAGTAAAAAAAACACAGTACATATAATATTTAGGCCTCAAAATCGTACATTGTAAGCCAAAATCGTAAGAGTAAACAGGTCTGATACAATAATAAGCCCACTCATTCTTCCCTTTGGGTCAACTAAGTAATTAAAAGTGTTGGTCATCTGTCCACACTGATCTTGGAAATATTACTAAAATATTAGCACAGGAAATAGACCAAGGTCCTGAGCATGACAGATTCAGCCAGTCCTTTCTACTCCACATTCACTTAATAAACCTTCGTTACATGTTTTTAATACAACTGCTGCTAGTTCGGATGGCTCTTCTTGGGGCTAGTTCAGATGGTTCTTCTTGCGCCGAGTTCAGATGGCCCTTACTGGTGCTAGTGTAGATGGCACTTCTTGCGGCTAGTTCAGATGGCACTTCTTGCGGTTAGTTCAGATGGTACTTACTGCTGCAAGTTTAGATGACACGTCTTGTGGCTAGTTATGGCACTTCTTGTGGCTAGTTCAAAGGGCACTTACTGCTTCTAGCTCATATGGTACTTACTGCCGCTAGCTTAGATTGGCCCTTACTGTTTCTAGTTCAGATGGCACTTACTAAGGCTAGTTCAGATGGCACTTACTAAGGCTAGTTCAGGTGGCACTTACTAAGGCTAGTTCAGATGGCACATACTAAGGCTAGTTCAGATGGCACTTACTAAGGCTAGTTCAGATGGCATTTAATAAGACTGGGGGGGGGGGGGGGGGGCCGCAAGGTGAAAAGTCTTTTTTATTTTTTTTTAGTTGGATCTAACTATGTCTGAACTCACACTTTGTATCATAAATCAGAGCAATTACATTGTTAGGCCTCATAGTTTGTATCATATCAGTGATCCCCATAAAATTTTTACATTTTTGTTAGGTTTATATCTTATTAGAGTTAAGCCTCCCAATCATTTTCATAATTCAAAGACGAGTTTTTTGGTGGGGGTTGGAGAAAAGCTTTATTACTGTCATTTTGTTTAGAATCCTAGTCAAAGAAATGCCACAAATTTACATTACATGGAGAAAAAATTGCCATATTCTTTGTATATATGTAAATAAAATTTGGATTTCGGGAGTGGGGGGTGGCTAATCCATTAGCCTAAGAACTCTGCACATGAAGAATATGTGGAAATTATGGGTATGTCATTTGGATGTCATTGATTATGATTTATTTCTTGATTATGAGAATGTTATGAGTTAATAAATGTCATGTTGTGTTAACAGCTGTAGTTCACCTGTGTATGACATGTGTTGACAGAATTCAATCTTGTACTGTTTTTTCTTGGTTCAAGACCATCAAAGTATTTGTAATGTTGTAGTATTTTTGATATGGAAAAAATAGAGGCTACAGCTTGCTGAAGACGGGAAATGGCTGCCACTGGCAATTGTTTATAGTACGGTAACTATATGTTTGTCTACACTTATGGATTGTCAAACTGTTTATATGAAAGAGCTCATTCAGGATCATATTTGATTGATTAGTTTCTGTCTGTGCAAATAAGCTATGATAGGAAGGGCATGATCAGTGTTGACCTGTCGTCACCGTGGCAACACTTCATGATCCTTCTTCATTTATCCATCAGAGTTTAGCTTTAGATGGCATCTTGACTTACCATGATCAGATTTCCAGGACGCGAGTCCCTTGGCATTCCTAATATAATTTAATGGCACTTGCCAGAAACAAGGTAATGGTAGGATTTATATATATATATATATATATATATAAATTATACTCATAAAATGTATGTAGGCCATCAATATTTATTTGAAATGTATGTAGGCCATCAATGGTTAAGTATGTTAGCTCATTTTTATTGTATCATCAATACAGTTTGCAGTGAAGTTATTTGCTTGCATTTTGGCTTTGGTGTCAGACAATTTCTTCAGGATTTTAACCTAATTTTTGCATTGCTCTCACTCGCAGGTTTTAAGGTGGTTTGTTTCTTTTTTTTTGTTGTTTTTTTTTTTTATGTTGACAGAATATTATAATATAATATAAGTACAAATAACTTGAATAGATTAAGAAAAAATATTTTGTTGACATTTTTCAAACATTATAGCTATCTAATTAATTAATTTAATGGTGAGCGTATTTTTTTTTATTATATCTTATCGTAATTTTTCTTCTCTACTTCATATAAATATATTTATATCTTTGTTATGTAGAAATGACATTGGATAAGGAATGCTGTAGGGTGAAGGAGCTGTATATAATGTTGAAGTAGTTTGAAATGTC